CCCCTTAAAACCATTTCATTGACAAGCTTCAGAGGAAATCGACCGAAGAGCCACCACCACCATTGCTGCCGCCGGCCGCATCGGGAGCTCGTCGTCACACCGCCTCCACTCCAACCGAGCATGGGGTAAGCCTCCTCATATTCCCTAAGTGCTCCCCTATCACCTAATCGATCCCTCGTTCGCCGTAGCATGCTAGCCGTCGCCGTCCCGAACCTACCGCCAACAACAGCCATGGCGCTCGCCGCCTCCAGCCTTCCCCGGCCGCGCCGCCACCTCTAGGGTGTGCGAAAGGACCACCTCTAGCTTCCCTGGCCTTCTGCCGTGTTAGAGTTTGTGTCGAATATGTGTACGTAGTCGGTTACAGTTTAGGACTTGGAGTTGTACTAGGTATAGGACTAGAATAAGAGTCGGACTCTATCCTAGGATCTCTCATAAATAGAGGGGCGTGCCTGTTGTAACTGCATGGCGACTTAGCATAGCGAGAGGGAGCGGCTGCCATCGTCGACCGGCCGTGAGTCGTTGTAACTCTGATACGCTGTATATGCTGGATCGGGGAGGAGCGCCCGTAATCAGTGCCCTGAAGTTGTAGGCTACGGCTGAACTCCGTTATCAAATATCGTGCCTCGGTGTCGTCATCGTGTTTGGATTTCCTATGGCGTTTCTTCCGTGTTTGGTTTCTGATGTGATTTCGGGGCTAGTTTTATAACAAGTGGTATCAGAGCCTGCGGGAGATCCATGGTAGAGGCGCGATGGAGGTGCTTCACACCACGCCGCTCGCGGTTTATGTCCAGGGAAGGACATGTGCGCAAGGTGGAGCATGGCGGCGATCAACATAATTTGATCGGTGGATCGAACACTTCAGGCAGCGGTCTAAACCGTTCGACGGCTGCTTTCAATAGGGAGATGATAGACATGGTGCTCGGGTTGATGGCGGCGGAAGCGATTGGCGATCCAATCGGTGGGTCGGACACTTCAGGCGGGTGGCCCGGACTTTCCAGTGAGCTACTCTCAACAGGGAGACGTGGGGCCCCATGCTCGGGTTGATTGAAGCTGGAGGCGATCGGCGTTCTCGGTCGGTGGATCGAACACTCTGGGCAGGGTGGCCCGGGCCTTTCTATGAGCTACGTTCGATAGGGAGATGGCTAGACGTAGCGCTCGGGTCGTTCGGTGGCTGGGAAGACGGCATGCAACTTGTCGGCTTCGGCTCGCGACTAGATTGATGGGCGTTCAATCTAAAGTCGGAGCGGGTGGATCCTATAGGCTGGTTTGAGAGGTGTCTTCGACAAAGTGTGGTGCGACAGGATTGCTTCGGCGGCGGCGTATACGTGGTAGATGGCTAAGCCAAGGCAATCACGATGAGACCGGCTTACTGTGCCGGCCCAAGCGTGGAGGGACCTGGTTAACTTGGATGTCGCTGGAGATATGCGGACGCTCAGGAGGTCACATCTCACAGTGGTGTGCGCATTTTGCGTCAAAGCCGAGCCGGTGGTGACTAGGGTAGCGTCGGGCCGTGGCAGATCTCTGTTAGAGTTAGAGCTATTATCGCACGAGACTCAAATCTGGACAAGATCGCAGCGTTTGAGATGGAAACGGACACGTTGAGTCCGGTTCGCTCACGGTAGCGCGTTTAGCGAGGATTCCAGGAGAGCAAAGACACAGGGCCTGTTTGGGGGAGCTTTATATTCTGAGAAGCAGCGGTTTGGTAGCCAGCTTCTGAGAATCTGGAAAAGCTCTGAAACCCAGCTTCTCCAAGCTTCTGGCTTCTTAGTTCATTTTTCAGAAGCTATAACTACAAATTCTCAGAAGCCGTGGACTGTTTGGGGGAGCTTCTAGCAGAAGCAGCTTTTGGGAAAAGCTGTACCTGGGACAAGCTCCCCTAATGAGGGCCACAGTCGGACACGGCAGGGGACGAAGAGGATTCGATTTGGACTCAAAATCGGATGATTAATCTCCCGAAAATACAGCAAAGGGACTCCATGGGATTGCAACACGTAATCGAGCAAATCACAAGGCAAGGGCGAAATCAATTTCGTGGGCAGCGTGGTTTGTTGGCGACGAACTCGGGCGGTGGTGTACGGCTTCGGTGAGCAGCAGTACAGGTCGTGGAGGAGCTCGACGCGGGCCGGCTCTAGAAGGAGGCGGCGGACACCAGCGTCAGGGGCAGCAGGTTCTTGTGTCGGGGAAGGGCAGCTTCCCGTGGGCGTCGGCATCCTCACCGGCGAGAAGCCCATGGTGGCGGCGGCAGCAGTCCTCACCGGCGAGGTCCCGCAGGGAGGCGGGCGGCGGCGTCAAGGCGACCGGCGTGGCAGCAGCGTCTTCAGTGGCGGCGCGGAGCAGACGGTGAGGCGGCGCGGGCTCTGGTGCTCGCGGTCGGCAGGAAACAACGGCGCGGCAAGGGCGCGATAGGCGCTGGGCAGCGGCACTGTTGGGCTGAGGAAGGCGAGCAGAAAGGAGTGAGGAAGGAAGGGGATCGATCTGATCTCCAGACTTCTTGTTGACTGGTTTTCTTTGACCAAGGATTGAAACCGAGCGGTTCTTTTCTTTTTTCTGAAAAAAAGGTGGGTTCGGTTCGTTGGTCCGGTTGGTTCAAGTACCAGGGTTGTTGACTAGTCATTGACCTTAATGTGCTTGTTTGGTTTGGGTCACTGGTGGCCTAACATGAGTACTGAGTAGGCTGCATGTCATATGATGGTGCATAGGGACTTGGTTTATAGAACCATGCTATGTATAGAGAAGCTCCTGCAGCAAGATGGGTATGTTAAGTCAAAGCGATGGCTCGACAGAAAGACAGCACGGTGGGAGTTTGACTTGTCAAGCCATTGTATAGGTGAAGGTCCTGGGCAACAGCGGGTGAAAATCGTTGAGGGCATTAACGGGCTGTTTGGCAGTTGTCTCCCAGGCCACGTGTTTTCTGTCAACATCAGTACAGGATATATTCAGGATCTGCGGGATTGCATGATGGGGATATATGGAATCTACGTCATTGAAGGAGAAGAGTAAACGCTATGGTGGTAATTTCTTCGGGTGATTCAAGGCAACAGTGAATTTTCTCAGATTATCAGGAATGCAGTCTACGGATGCGAGAAAGCGTGGATGTTGGATTTATTAGCTCGGTTCATAAGACGACAAGGAAGAAAGGGTTCTCTTCATGTCTGGTGAGTTTGGTTTGTCTATTTGGTGATGACATCGGTTATCTGGCCATGGATTAGATCAAGTCAAATTTAATACGGTAGATGAAATTGAACATGGTCTTCGGGTAGTCTATGATGTGACAGCTAGGAAGAATTCAATTCGCTTGGCAAGACGACTGTGGTGATATGCGAGAAGGTGGAGCACTGTTACAGGTGGAGTCAAGAGGAGGAAGTTACAGGGATAGCAGAGTCTCTTGTTACGGTGAGACTGGTGGAGGCTTATCGGGGCAGCTTGGCGTGAGTGGTGGGAAGAACCAACTCAAGTCCTGGTACACGGATGTCGAGCAGGTAACAGATTCAGGTTGGCGTGGCATATTCACCAAGATGGAGTTTGTTAGAGTTTGTGTCGAATATGTGTACGTAGTTGGTTACAGTTTAGGACTTAGAGTTGTATAGGTATAGGACTAGAGTAAGAGTCAGACTTTATCCTAGGATCTCTCATAAATAGAGGGGCGTGCCTGTTGTAACTGCATGGCGACTTAACATAGCGAGAGGGAGCGGCTGCCGGCGTCGACCGGCCGTGAGTCGTTGTAACTCTGATATGCTGTATATGCTGTATCGGGGAGGAGCGCCCGTAATCAGTGCCGTAGAGATGTAGGCTACGACTGAACTCCGTTATCAAATATCGTGCCTTGGTGTCGTCATCGTGTTTGGATCTCCTATAACGTTTCTTCTGTGTTTGGTTTCCGATGTGATTTCGGGGCCAGTACTATAACAAGCCAAGCCATCCCCGTCGCCGCTCGTCGCCGGCGAGCACTTCCCGAGCCGCCGCACCTCTCTGCCTATCGAGCTGCCTGTAGGTTGAAGGACCTTGTCCTGTAATTAGGGTAAACTATAGGGCTCTTTCTGCAAAACAGCTAGACACTGACAGGTGGGCCTAGGACTTATATGTAATTTATGCAAACCTTAGTGCTTGGCTGAAAGTTTAGAGAAGTACCTCGCACAGCAGATGGACCCCACGGTTTAAAATGGATACACAGAGCATAAATATGCCTTCACTGTAGGAAAACGTATTCCAGATAGTGCACTTTAGTTTCTTTTATAAGCATCTAGATGAGGGCCTGTGCGTTGCAACGGGAACACTACATAACTTTTGTAGAAATTTTATGATTGAGCAAACACTCAATATTTTATAATTTGCCATTGGCAAAAGCAATATCTATATAATGCTATCATTTTTCTCTCCTTTTCCTTTTTGTTTGTCAATTGAACTCAATTAGCCTTTTAAAAAAGATCATTTTGCTCCTAAAATGTGACCTACACTAACCTAGACAAGATTAATTCATTTTTTAATTGCCATTGGAATAACAGTAGATTTAATTGCATTATTTGCAATTGACACAAAAAGTATATATATTTCAAACGTCTTGAGTATATTTTAGGCATGATAAAAAATCACAGAGCTAATGCAATGGAGGTTAACTGACGGAAATTGTAAAATGGAAAAGAAATACTTGTATGATGATGCACTTTAGAACTTGTGCTGATCAAATGTCATATAATCGAAGTATCTTTTTAATAATAAGAAAGAATCATCTCTTCTAAAAAAACTTGCATTTAATTATTCTTTATGCCATCGATCTTATCATACATTGCATCATACCGCTTTCCAAAGGCTATGTTGACCTCGGCTTAGACAACAGGAACATACTCACATATACATATGAATCAGCGACTACTGCCCTACCATGCCTGATAGTGTATTTGACACTTGTCACTGAAGATAGCGATGCATTATCCAGTTTTCGACAAACTTGTAATAGTCGAATTAGACTCGGTTTGCTGAGCCAGAGAATTGGTCCGGACCTCTAGGAAAGAAGCTTAAATAAAAATTCATTCCCATTTTCTTTGATTGGAATTTAACACTGGGCAGAAAACAAGAATACCTACAGACAATACAGATATAAGCTGGAAGGAGATATTACTAACTGAGAGGAGTCTGCTCCATTGGCAATGGTTGCATCTGTTCCATTAGTTTCCATTAGTTTAATCTTCCAGTCTCCAGTTTTCCTTGCATCCATGCATCACCCAAGATGTCTTTCCACCTCCTGGAGCCTCTGAAACTCACCGGAGTCTGACTGATTTAGTTGCCCAGCTAACACAAAGTGTTGTCGTCGTGCAATTTTAGTGACAAATCAAACAACTACCAGCTTACCACAATCCATAAATTGATTTGAGTGTTAGCACTGAACGCACCACTGTCCCCATGTACTATGGTTTAAATACAATGTACTATATAATGCAGGTAAGAACTCACTCTCAACTGCATTGTTTGATGGGAGTCATATTAGTCTCAGCACCAAAATGGTAGCCAAGATCATTAAAAAAAAAAACTTGTAACGAAGAATTAGAATAATTCAGGCCATGACGATCGAGAGGCCGAGACGGTGGCACGAGATGCAGCGAGCACAGGCGGAGGGCATAGATTGGAGCGTGAGGTTTTCGTGGTTGCCAGAATGGCGTCGAGGTGGAGCCGGATTGTGGTACCCCTTGATTGTCCGTCTTGTAGAGCCGGTACCAGTGCTCCGCCACCTCCAACCGGAGCACAGATTGCTTCGAAGTCAGTGGCCAGGACAACACCTGCAGGCAACCAAATCAGGCATACACGCTCAGAACACAACAGGTTGATTACATAGGTCGCATACACGCTCAGAACACAACAGGTTGATTACATAGGTCGCATACACGCTCAGAACACAATTACATAGGTTGCGATTGGAAATAGAAATACTGTGTGGTACCTTGGAGTATTTGAGGGCAACGCCGACGAGGCGACCAGAGCCCTGCCGACCGCAAACTTCCTGCAGTCCCTCAGCCCATGGAGCTGTACAGGATCAGAAAAATCGCATGTTCAGAGGGGTGGCCGGACGGGCAGGTGAAGGACCGGGAGACGGCTTGGGAGGGAAGGAGGAGGCAAACTGTGGGCCATCTGTAGACGGGATTGGAGGCGATGGGATTTGGGCGTCGCCGTCAAGAGGAGCTGTTGCCTGTTGCGTCATTGAGGAGAGGAGCGGGCGGCTTGGAGCGACGGGGGAAGGGTCGGCGTTGAGGGAGGCCATCAATTCCATGGCTTGGACGGGGCCGCAGCGGCTTGGAGTGACGGGGGACAGCAGCGGATGGGCGGTGTGGCGTTGAGAGGAGCGCGTGAGAGCCGTTTTTTTTTGACAAATTGATCCTTATAGAAAAATTATTTCGAAAGTAGTCCCTGCCAAAAACTATATCCAGAAATAGGCCGTTGGCTAAGCGCCACGCTTGGGTTGTTCCTGTCAGCGCCAATGTGACTGGCCCTGACATCATGCCAGCGTGGCAGTCGAGGTGCGACGTAGCAGGGCCTCAGCGCCAATGCATTTGGCACTGACTCCTTGTACACGCTAATTAGACTGATGCTAATTACAACAATTTTGGCGCTGAGCCGACGGCCTATTTCTGGATATAGTTTTTGGTAGGGAGTAGTTTCGAAATAAGTTTTCTACAAGGACCAATTTATAAAAAAAATGGGCGTGAGAGGGCATCAGTTTCGGAAGAGGTTAGATGCGAAGGCCGGAGGAGGAGAAGCGCGATGAGGGAGATACGCGAAGCGATCTGAGCCGTTGGATCTCATGATTGTATGGCTAGGATGAGACGTGTCTGCCTGATGCGTCTGTTGTGTCAGGAATCAAGACCACTACTATCAATTTTTTAATTTTTTAAGTAGTAAAGATAAAGATAAAGAAGTAAAGAAGTACTAAATCTGAGAAAAGGTTTTCTGTTAATTATTTATACACTGAAAAATGCTGAAACTTTATAAAATCACATAAAATTCATTTTAACTCCGATTGAGGTGAAACAAATTTTGTTAGATTCATAATAATTTACTCTTTAATACTGTCCACTTAAACTTGACACCACTGTTGTGTAAAATTTCACTAATTTAAATTTGAATAGTAACTTTCGTATTTTGAATATTAGAAACGCGATAACTTGCACGTACGACATCAGATTTAGGCGTTTCATTCTCCTAAATTCATATTAAATCACCCCCTACGCACTGAACATGCTCATGCATCATGCATCATATTTTATCTTGGAGTTGTATTGGATGTTCATTTGAATGTACGTTTAAATTTAAATAGAGGACGAATCGTTTGTTGCCGTTGACAAGAGTGTGCAGGACCAAGAGTTGTTTCAGTGTTCCCTGAGCAATGCAAGTCCTATTCAATTCCTCGTTCGACCATGTTGAATCCTATATTTTTGCAAATGCTTTATTATTTTATAAATTGCATGCGTTGTTTTATAATGAAAATGGGGTTCTGCTAGAAATGATCTATTTGCTGCATTACCTACCTTGATATATTGATTATCCTTACTATTGAAGCACTAAGATGGGTATTTATGTGGTGCTATCCAAGCACCACCGTGGATATATTCAAGCTACTAATATAGCTATTGCGTACCCATACTTAGAAAATTCCCGATAGTTACTTATGACATGATATTCACTCTTTATAAATGGGATAATTGAAAAAAAATTGTATGGAGGGGTTGCCTCTGTTATTTTTTGTGAAAATTGAAAACTGAAAAAAAATGATGATTTTAGGCTTGGGCGGCAAGTGGTGTGCATATGGTGGTAGTTGCACACCAATACGGGGAGTGTACGCCTGAGTCGATTAAGGACTAAACTATGTGTCACCAACTAAGATTACCTTGCAACCACATGTTTCGGTCATGGGGCAACCATGGCTTATTAAGTTGTTTATTGTGTTAGCCTTGCATTGGGAGGCCATTGTAGTATGGACTATGTCGAGGAGTGATCCTCTCTAGCGGGAGGTCGTGAGACCCCCCTTTGTGAGTTCGGCCGGGGGATAAGCCGCGATGATCAAGAGCATATCTCCGCTTCGGATCTAGCTAACGAGATCGTTCGCAAGAGAATGGGAGAAAAGGGATCATATAGGTTCGAGCCGTCAGGAGGCGTAACACCCTACTCCTGTGTGTGGGATTAAGCTCGCGCGGTTACAAGGGAGTTCTAACCCTAGGCTCAAGCTTCTCAAGTTACGTCCGTCCCTTCGGTGGGCAAGGTTCTCCTTTTATAGTTGAAGGGGATACCACATGCACCGACTTTAAATAACTCATCATTGGAGGGGGGCCCACACACCCCTGGTCACGTCAACATCCATGCCTTCAACCGGAAGCAAGGTGGTTGCTTGTCCTCAGGTGGGTCCCAGTACCGTCCTCCGCCTGACACGGGGGACACCGCCTGTCATTCCCTCTTAATTCCTTGGTGACTTTGGTGGACTGCATACAAGGGCGCATGCTCGGCGACGTGCCGACGGGACAAGGCTTACCTGCCCCCACTCCGCCTGACACAGGGCGAGACATGGGTGCGCTGCTAGCCGTCCCATCCGCCTGTGATCGGTCACAGACTGGTCAAGACCGATTGACGCATGTCAATCGGGCGGCGCCTCACGTCTGCCCACGCCATATTAAATACGGCGAGGGATGGTTGGGGCACCGTTCATTTAAGGCGCTCGGCAGCTCCTCTTGCTCCGCCCACCCGGCCGCCACGCGGCAGCCGGATAGGGGCCTTGGGGCAACGCGGTCAAAAACCCCGAGGGGTGAGACGGGACACCCCGAGGCCCCCTGGCCACTTTGTAACCGCCCAACCTCCCCCGAGGGGGGGGGGGAAGGCAGGCCACGTGGCCACGTGGCAAGGTGGAATGGCTCTTTCCCTCTACTGTGCACGCCCCCGGGCCCATATCACCGATAGACTAGTCTAAGTGATGGTTCATAGGAGCTACCCATGTGACCCTCTATGGGAACGGTTGTGTTTTCCATATGGCATGGGTGTCTGAGCATATCTAATATAACGGACAGTGCCTCGTTGAGGGAACGGATGTGTTCGCCTCACGGCGTTAGGATTAGGATGGGGTCCACCTTTCCTAGCGGCATTGGTTCATGACCAATGTGGAGAAACACTCTCCGTGCTCATGCAAGGCTAGACTTTAAGCAATGTAACGGCTTCGTTGTGACCTCTAGTCCACATTCAATGTGTAGAGTGTAGGGTACCGACGGGTATCAAAACAACTAGAGTGTAGCCTTTTGGCTTCTATCACATCATGTGGGTAAAGTTGTACAAACTCTGCAGAGTCTAAAACTAATCGATTAGCCATACTCACGGTCATGAGCGACTTGGTGAAAGGATACAAGTATAGTGTTGGTGATACTAAAATGCATGGTTTGTGAAATGGGTATGGTGGGTAACGATCATGTTTTTGCCCAGTGTGGGCTAAGGATAAAATGCTTGCTTGCTGCCATGGACGACACAAGGATGATACTAGATGATATTTATGCTACTATTATTATGGTTTACTCACTGATTTAAAAATTCCGTTTCAATCTATTATTATTTACTATTGCGAATCAAAGTTCTCTTTATGCTGAAAATGAGCCACAAATATAGCCATCTTTGATTTAAGCTTGCAATAGTCCTAGGTTTCCCAAGGTTTGGGTAGGACTTGCCAATACCTCGTGTATTGACCCACCTCTTGTTGTTGTCTTTAGACTTGGATGCAAGATGTGAGGTGCCTAGTGACGATTACCTTGCACCGGGTACCGGAGTTTTCGAGGATGGTTCTTTCTAGGGTGATTCCTAGTTGGTTGCCTGTGTGGTTTGGTAGATGGGCATACTGAAGAACTTATGTATCTTTATATTTTTCCTGCGTATATACTCTTTTATTTGGTCGGTCAGCCTAACAACTATGTAAGACCTTTGCACCGTTAAATTATAAGAACCACTTTATCTATTTATATGTCAAGTATGTTGTATGGATGTGATAACAATGTTGTGGATGCGTGTACTAGCCATTGATCATGGAAACAGTATAGTGTACGCTCTAGGTATTCCGGAATTCAATCCCCGGGTGCCAACACCAGATCTGTTGGAAAGAGAATTCTAAGATATTTCCATCAAGTACTCATGGACCTAAAATTAAGTTCGTATTCATACCCGACGATCCTTTGAAATCGGCTGAATCGGATTCTAAAACATGGACAGTTTGATCTTGATGTCTTGCTGTTGACCTATGATATGAGCAAAGGTTGTATCAATAGCATATATGGTCAAATTATTCTCCCCTTCTTCACATAAACCTGCCTCCTTAATAGAGAATGGCCCAACGGTTGTCCATGAAAAAACTTGTGGGGAACATGGTACCTGGGTACCCAAAGGTTCAGCCTTTGGGCCGTGATTTACAAAATGCTGGGTACGCCCGCCTACCATTACCAGCGAGAAAGAGAGAGAGGAAGAGTGAGAGAGAGAGCGAGAGTGAGAGTGAGAGAGAAGAGAGAGAGGGGAAGAGTAAGAGAGGAGTATGACAGGTGGGTCCCATATGTTTTTATAAATAAAATGCTGACTGGACTGCCACGTAGAACAAAACCACTCTGGGTTGGGTCGAGGGGGTAATTTGTCCGGTATTGAAAGTTCAGGGTGAACGATGTTTGGTTTTCGGGTTTAGGGGGTAATTCGGTCGACCGCGATAGTTCGGGGGGGGGGGCAATTCGTACATTTTTCTTTACAAAATGGGCCGCGGTGGCCTAAAGCCAGTACGGCATAATGTAATCAAAGAAAGGGATTAAAGATAAGGCTATAAATCTTATCTCATGTAAATTGGTGGCAGGTATCCGAGTTATAAGGGATAACCTACCAATCTTAGCCGACCGCCCCTAGGTCTACATAAGCGAGGTCGAAAACGCTAATAATGGGATCGATTTCTTCATACACGCTATGTGCTATTCACATTTTGTGCTGCTCATACATAGATCAATCTACATATGCAACTAGACTAGGGTATTACCTCTGCCGATGGTCTGAATCAGTATAAACATCTGTTTCTTAATCTCTCATTGATCTTATGCACCCTATAAGTATTATTGCCGATCTAGAGAATTGGCAGTTGGCGCGCTAGGTAGGGGTGCTCTCGATCGCCATCGTTTTAAAGGAGGAGATGGTGTTTCCAGGAGTCATTATCGCTGGCCACGCCGCCAAATTCCTTGTGGGAGGTTCAATCTCCTTTGGCTCCCAGACCTTCATCACCTACCAGACTGGCTGCCTCGCTCGGAAAACTTCAAGCGTAATTG